TTTTCTGCTGCAGTGTTATAAACAATTGATTTAAGGTAGAAGCCTACTCATAAATTAAAAAACCCAGAATTTATTCATTTTGCAATAAACTGTACTCCAAGGCAATATAAGGATTTTGACCTAAAAAAAATTGGGGGTCACCAGCCTTTTTTTCGAGAAATAGATGGTTGTATTTTAGTGGAAAGTCACCATTTTGGTACTATTATAATGCTTTTACCATAGGTTCCTATGGCAGAGATATTATGAAATATCTCAAAATCTAGCCTGGTGACATAGGCTGAAAAAATCATATATTGTTAATGATGGAGTAATTTTTGTTGTTCTGAATTATTTAAAAAATCTAGGTTTTAAAAGGTATCAACAAATGCAATTATTTTTAACATTGTGTTCTATGTAATTGTCTAAAAATAGCAATTTTCAAGAAATATTACGACACGTTTCTCAAAAAGCGTAACTGTAACACACATTGTACCATGATACATTAGCTTCATGATTGTACATAATAAACTAATGAACATTGTCATGCGATTTATGACCAATTTTGTTATGGGCTTGGAAAGGTTGGTTTTAAAAAGAATGCAAGCTCGACATCGAGAGAAAATATTTGCATGTTTTGCATTTTAGAGACGTTAGACATTTTTGAAGCTTCTATATTTTGAAAATGCACGTTTGATATTTTTCGTCAAACGTGTATTTCAAAAATGAAAAATTGTCTTGTCCTGAGCTGATGCATTAATGCGTACGTGGGGTCACAACAAGGAGTCACAATAATGGCCACTTGTGCGGCCTGTTATACTCCTCGGACATAATACGTCAGTCCGTTTAATAAACTGCTGGAAACATGCTACGTGAATGTTTGATGTCCTGGTATTGTAAAGGTCAGCACAAACTTGAATTTGTACACCCAATGCCGGCACAATTTTGCTCACCCTACCGAACTTGAATGTCGTCACAAATTTGCTTACCCTGATGTTTTCACAATTTTGCTCACCCGGGTCACATAAAGAATTATTGTAGTAAATAATAGTGAATCAATATATCAGATACTAACTTTGCTGCTTCCTTGTAATATAAAAAAAAATCCGTTTCAGTAAATATGAATTTAAAATTATTTAGTGACATCATGAAAATATCGTGAACTCACATATTCAAAAAGTACGCAATCTACTCACTGTTCCCTGAGTTACTGAATGACATGAACAATTTTCCAAATTTCTCTAAGCAACGTAAAATCCACCAGCGCGACAGTTAAAATGCAACATCCGTCCAACAGTGTGAGAAAATCATATCGACCTAGAATTCACAGCTGCCGTAGATTGACCAAATGTTCGTTCGATAACAAGGATAATATTATATGAAACATCTAGCGCATGTTTTGGGTGTGTCCATGAAAAATAATTGTATGTTATTCTTTTAGTTTGTATTTGCATGACTACCATATCTCATCATTATATATTTTCAGCATTACGAGTATTTACTATCATGGGTCACGATAACAGTCGTTAGTGAAAGACAAACAATATTTGCTATGTTTTAAATAACCAATAATAACGCAAAAAATAACAAAAATAGTTGGATATTTGCGTCGCAGAAAAGCTTCGGAACTAGAGGGCGTGGATCAGATAGGAAAGGTGTTTTGCATTTACGGTCAGTCAAACCATGGAGCTCCATAGTTAAACGAAACACCTGCACTCAATACATTTCCTGGAAAATTGAGTTCATTCTTCACAAATAAAATATTCCTATCATTCCTACGTTGTATTATAAAAAGAACACTTTCCACTGATGATACCGAGAAGTTATTGGAGCTCTGAAGCTAGTCTGCACTTGACGGAAACAAGATTGCCTGACCACTAAAGCAAACACACTTTTAATTGTAGTAATTACTGAATGCCACGTGGCGTTTGCATTATTTAGATGGTTTCAGGATTCTGTTAACATTTCTTGGGAACAACACAAAATCCAAAGCCATTCATGATGATGCTGACAGGGGTCAGTGAGATGGTTTCTACAAACCATAGAGTGGAAATGCAACTTCAACATACTAACATACTTTCGATGCACGAGGCATTGTCCAAAAATTTACCGAGTTATATTCCTAGCTTTGTTTTTTTTGGTTTTGTTTGTTTAGTTATTCACGCCGACGTAACGTGTTCACCATTCCCTTTCACCGACGCAAGGAACACAGATGTGAACACGTTATTATAATTAAATGAATTTAACTATTACATGTATAACACTTAAAATAGATTCATTGGCTAAATTTTGTGTGAAACAGTTAAACATTACGTGTTTGACAGCGCACCATATGTGCTGTCTGTAACGGTACACCGGTTCCATCCATCCAGCCAATCATCGAGTCGTATCAGTATACTAATTATCATATGTGTCACGGCGAATAAACGGCAATAATTGCGTAACGAGACAGTATCAGCGGCCAATTTTGTCGACTCGAGAAGGAGGGAGAGAACAGGACAGCCGTAGAACCGCGACATTTCTCTCGAATTCAGCCTGACATACTGCCAGTTTTGTGTAGACTAATCTCATTCAGGGGTATAGATTGTGATTTGAAGACGTGTACTCGGAGAACGCCTTCTAAAACCAACGTTGATCACTTACTCAAAAATATTCAACAGTTAATGGAACCATCTATAAAAATAAATGTATCTTCAAGTTGCTACACCAACCAATTGATTCAAAGAAAACGGATTACTCTTCTTCTTTGGTAAATGACAAAGAAACATGCCGTAATTCACCGTTTATGATCCTAAAATCACTTCTAAATAGAAAACAAGAATCTCCACTGCCATCGCATACATCTTCAAGGAAGAAGACAGAAAGATGTCATTTTTTTCAGATAAAATCAAATAGTATCAGCCTTCTAGTAGTCCTATAGAAACATACTACCGGTGCGCTTGAGTTGACGTCCTTTCATCAAGCCCCAAGGAAGAAATTGGAATTAGTACGACTCATGATAAATAAATCATGCAACCTCGATCGACCGTGATACTAAAAGATGCGTCGTCACTTTAAATAGAATTTTTTGAGAAATATTAAGACTAATTACTCCAAATACGTTATAAATCAATGAACTTTGTCACGATTTATGACCGACTTTCTCACAAATCACAATCGAGCCTCTACCATTAATAGAGATTTATCTAATCACCTCGTCCATATGTTAGTGTCCCTTCCAGACTATGCAGATACTTCTCTGCACAGTATAACACAAGTCAACATAAAGAAACTTCAACAAATCCACAACACAGTAGCTCGTTTATAAATTACCAAAACTAGAAAGTTTTATCACTGATATCACTCAATCGATATCATACCGACAAGCTACTTGACAGAGCCGAGCAATGGTTTAGTATAAAGAATGCCTTTATCGTGTTATTAGATTTACATTGTCGATTGCAGTGATGTTCATTTAGATTCGCATGCAACAAGGCAAATCTGATATGAACAGACGCCCCCACCGACTTTCTAACAAAACGGCCACTAGACACAGAGGGCGCAATACACTAGTATAGCGATGTATATTCGACCAAAGTGCATAATACCAGATTAAGCACCCCCCCCCCCCCCCGAGTGTAAATGCGCATCGAAATTAGTTTCTTTTAAGGCTAAAATAAGGTAATTAATTTACATATTCTACAGTTTAGGACATAATTAATCTTTTCACCACCAGTTCTTTCTTTTCATCACAAATTCACAAAATAGTCCCGTTTATAGTCTGCACTTTCCTTCAGAAGTTTGGGACAAAAACATTTTTTCAGTAAAAACTGAAAATTGACTCTCAAATTATATCTGTTGGCTTCTGAATTAGTGATCATTTCTAGAAATATTGTATACAAGAAAAAAAGTGCAGAACAATTTGGACGAGAAAGTCTGGTGGTGAAAAGTGCCGAGGTCATAGTTGCCAAAAAAGTATTTTCTGTTCATTCGTTACTTAGGGACGACGTCAAAAGATCGATGTCGGATAAAAAAACTTATTTCCTTTAGTTTGGGGGTGGGGGGTTTTGACCTCAAAAAGTTTCCATCCTACAAAAACGATTTTATTTTTTAATGAAGTCAAAAAAAATCTTGGAGTATTTGTAGTTCGTTTTTTTTCTATCCAATCATGGACAGAAAAAAACGAAAAGGGAAAAAAACAGAAAAATGGTTTGGTTCGAGTGTAAATCTGTGCGTCAAATGAGGCGCATTTGTAAAATCTTTTTACATCCACCCGACAACCAACTGCTATGCAATACTACTGTCCGATTATCAATTTGTATTTAATGGTGAATGTAGTCTGACGCCATGACCAATATTTATCAATTAAGTTTCAGTGGGGGGTAGGGGGGTTTGGAAAAAAACTAAAGGAATTAAGTTTTTTATCCGACATCTATCTTTTGACGTCGTCCCTTAGTCCCTATGAAAATACATTTTCATTAAAAAAAAGTTGCATGCATTATTGGCCAGGTACCCCATTGTGTTAGATTAGCGTTTCTGCAACTCCACACTTCCGTTTCATCTCTATGTAGATTAATATTCACTTTTTTAATACAGTTCAGTTATCTGCCCTTTTTTTTTTTATGTACATTAGCAAGACCCAGTTTTGTTCTATGTATACGTAGATTAATAATTGACTCCATTTCATATATAGATTAGGGAATACTCTGGTATTGAAGTTAGATTGCTAACGTTTTAGTGTAGTTATTATTCAACTACAATGAATGGTTGGTTATACTAAAAACCCTGATTGTTGGGATAGCTCTAAAAGACATTTAACAGACACATCTGCAATCGAAGGCCTAAAGTTTATGCGAGTGGTTCAATATATCTGTATTTCTAGTTTTAAATTGTTGTATCATTTGAGTTCTTTCTGTAAACACAGCCTTTGACCTCTTGAAATTCACAAGATGCTGATGGGAAGCTTAGGCATTACAACTGAACTCCAAAGCTACTTGTAGGATCAACCAACGACAAGTTACTCTGGTTCAAGAACACCATTTAGTAAATACCAAGACGCTCATTTCCAGCAAGTTTGTAGTTGCTAATGGTCACCACAATAAAAGCATGTTCCAAAAAATTATCTTCTTCATAATATCAATTACCCGGTATACCAAAACTTAATAGTTTTTAATATAATTAAACATCGGCAAAAATAAACAGTATATACCCACCATGTAGCACTTAAAGCGAGAGGGTTGTCACCTGCTAACGCGCAGGAAGTCCAAAACAACAACACAACGCTTTTTTTGGTAAACAATGAAACGCTATGGCCAACTGACGCATGTGCAGGTGACGACTCCCCCGCTTTAAGGGATTTCAGCGTACACTGCAAATACTTAATACCGGGTACATATCACTCGCGTCTTAAATCCATTGCAGTGACTGGTGATTCAACCATACAAAGACAACACAACTACCAAATGTACACCTCGGACCACTCATTTATTTGTACACATCTGATCTTACAAGATGAATATTAAATTAATACAATCGCTGAGGTTTTCCCATGGTGCTCTTAATATAAAGAGATCGGACATTCTGCCAGTTCTTTTTCAACAATGAAACTAAGAAATTGATGCCCAAATTGATGTTTGCTGCAAGTTCATCTTCACCCATTCCAACATGGCCAATAGCAACAGCCAAGCACAACACCTGTAAATAAACAGTGATGTAATGTTTATATCAGCAAGTGGGTTGGTCTGTCCAGGAACTCCAAAGAAAGATTTTATTTCTCCCCTTCAGAAAAGACAAACTTTCCATTATTCTTAATGTTCAAAAATTACCCCTCTTTATTTATGTAATTAGATAGTTGTCTTTAAATGAACACAAGAATAGTCTGATGAAAACAAGACATTGAAAAAAACATTTTCATTTATAAATTTCCTTACATTTTTTAAAACAGTTTGTTCGATAAAAAATTGGCAACTAGAGGTATTTTTTGTGCCATGCCGAGATTTGCGGTCTAGATCATAGAATTTTCTATCTTACCTTCTTCATTTGGAATTTGATGGTGGCTTTGAC